ATAAATGTATTGCAGATATCGTTAAAGTTCAATAATGTTATGTACACATTTTAGAATTAGTCTGATTCAAAGGAGAATCAGAAGGCTGAATCCTGACTGACAGAGGAGGAGTTGGGGATGGAGGAGTGTAATTAGCTATTGAGCAATGCGAAAACTGCTTATAATACTGAGGGACCTTATATATGAATGCTTAGGTGTCGTATTCCCATAGGTTGATGGGGATCAGCTGAGAGTCAGCTGATGCGAGCTTGACTAACGTGACCTGCCAGAACTAACTCGACGCAAGATATATCTCATCATATATCATATATCATATCATATATCAAAAAATGTTTTAATAAATAAAATGACACTAACATGGTATGGAGTCTTAAAAAACCTAATATAACCATTTAACAATATCAAAACAAAAAAATAAATGTCATGCTGTCATGACCAAAAATGAAACTTGAAATACATACTAATATTGTCGATTATTAAAGGATGAATCAGGCAGTCCCTATAAAACGGTAATTTACATGACACTTTGATAATGTTCATCTAATGAGTGAAACATTAGCAATGGAATTAAGTCGTTTGCACATTTAATAAATATTTGGTCTGCTTCCTGACATGCCCACAAATCAAGTTCTGTTTTGGCAACCATTGCAGTCAACTCTAATGCATGTTTATCAGCTTTTGCCTTTGTACAGTCAGTTACTGTGTAATCCTAAACATGAGCAGGACATGTGAAAAGCACTTTAACTCCTTGAGAAATCACTTTCCCAGGTTACAGCAATTTTCCTTTTGAAAACGGATATCCTGCCAGACGATACTTATTCATCTAAACAGAGTGACGTTTAAACTTCAGTGTTCTTGGCTGTGAAAGAGTCTGAACAACATATAACCATGTGCAACATTTCACACACTTTATCAAGGGCCATTTTTCAAGTCTGTCATTTGAGATTGTCAAAAGTAGCTTAAAGAAAGCAGAGAACTTTCACAACTTCACATTGTCCTTTCTTTGCATAAATGTCAAGAGGCCAGCTTGTTTAATTCAGGTCCCATGCTCTCCGTTCTAATCACCTTATTTCCTGTAGCGATTATGACTCTCTGAATGAGCAAGACTGTGCCAAAAACCTTCAGCTGGCATTTGATGTGGCTGAGAAGGAGTTTGGCATTAAGCCTTTCATCACAGGGAAAGAGCTGGCGGCAGGTCAGGAGCCGGACAAGACCAGCATGGGCAACTACCTCTCCAAATTCTACGAGCTCTTCCGGGGAATGCCTCTACCTCCGTCAGGTAGATCATGAACTCTTTCATTACAACCCTATTAGGATCACTGGCTATGTTTGGAATTGCAAACTAGCATACTACGTGTACCATTTATCCAGAATCAAGTACACTACAAAAATCTTACTTACCCACTTCTGAACAGTAATGTTTTTAAAGTATCTTATGCTCACCAACACTCTTAAAAATAAAGGTGCTTCAAAAGGTTCTTCAAGTGATGCCATAGAAGAACCATTTTTGGTTCCACAAAGAACCATTCAGTCAAAGGGATGGTTCTTTAAAGAACCTTTCTTACCTTTTTGTAATTTGAAGAACCTTCTTTCACCACAAAGAACCTTTTGCCAAACAGAAAGGTTCTTCAGATGTTAAAGGTTCTTTATGGAACCATTTAGACAAAAAGGTTCTTCTATGGCATCGTGAAGCACCTTTATTTTTAAGAGTGAAGGCTGCATTTTTTTTCACACAAATACAGTAAAAACTGCAGCATTGTGAACAATTATTACAATGTAATAATTGATACATTTTTGTCTGGACACTTTTATGAATAGAAAGTTTAAAAGAACAGCACTTATTTGAAATGGACATCCTTGTAACATTATAAATTACTTTTCTGTCACGTTTGAATTTAATGCATCAATTTAATGCATCCTTGCTGAATGAAAGTATTTAAAAAATCGTTACACACCCCAAGTTTTGAACATTAGTGTAAATATATACAAACATATCAATTTAATTATTTATTTCACTTGAACCAGATGTAGTCTCTTTGACCCTTGATTGGGAAAAAATATAGAAATATTGGAAAACAAAAAAAATATTTTTATTTCCAAGATGGATGTCACGTGCTGAATTAAATATACATAAAATATCTAGCATACTAATATTTAAACATTTCTCCTTGCATTTTGATGAGTAGAAAGTTCAAAAGAACAGCAATTATTTGAAATGGAAATAGTTTGTAACATTATAATATCTTTAGTGTCACTTTTAATCAATTTAATTGATCCTTACTGAACAAAGTAAAAATAAAAACAAAGCAAACGACAACAAAAAAATCTTACTGGACCCAGACTTTGAACAAAAGAGTACATGATCAGTTCAGTATTCTATATTCAGTTAATTTAATTTCAGTTATTCGGTTCATTTGAACTTTGTGTAATATCGGTCACATTTTTCAACAGCCTCCTTGACTACTTTGGTTCACAATTAAAAGAACCAAAGACTTAAACTACTTCAGTCTGTGTGCATTGAATTTATTTAATACACGGGTTTCACAATTTGAGTTGAATTACTGAAATAAATGAACTTTTCCATGACATTCTAATTTATTGAGATGCACCTCTATGTACATGCGGAACAGGAATGTAAAATAAAGTGCTACCAAAATATATTTTCATCTCAAGAGGCCTTCACTCCTCAAAATATACATGACATTCTGTTAGCCCACTAAAGGTGTTCAGAGATTTTACACTGTCCAAAACCTATTATCTGCTTTGAGTGTGTCTTCCACCTAGTTAGAGTTTGCATAAGGTGTGTCCATTAAGGAAACACACAATGCATTTATGGAAAACCCCTAAAGAGAAGCATTCTATCTAGCCTTTTGCACTCAAACATTTGAGTTACACAATTCCTTCAGTCACGCAGTCATGCCAGGAATGCATGTCTGTCTGAAACCAGGTTACCGCCCTACAGATCTGTACGTTACCACAGAGGAGGATGCCATAAATATTCCACATTATATATATTATCTGGCCTCAGAGAAGTTAATACAGCAGAAGCACGTCTGATGTCAACTAAATGAGACATGCATTCAGATGGCTTCTTCTTGGACAATCAAGCTGCAATATGAGGCTTTTATGTTGTAAAGTGATGTGTGTTTGGTTACAATGCTTGTTTGTTGTAGTTGTTTATTCTCAAATGTCATGCAAATGTTTGTCATGTGGTTTATTGTAGATTCAAGGCGAGATGGTGATGCAAATAATGAAAAATGTCCATTGGGTTCTCCCAGACCTGTTTACAAGTCATTGAGTTTACTTCAGCCTCGTAAACGCATTCCCAAGGTAGAATACAAAGGGTTTGAGTTATTACAATCACTGTTTGTGGTTTGTGGACTTTCTTTATGTTCAAGTTTGGACATCACTTTCTAAAGTAAAATATAATTTATTGTTCCTTCGAATGATAAAAAGGTTGAAGACAATGATGCCATATACAAGAGAAGACGGAAAATTAGTTACTTCGAAGAGGTCAGTATTATAGTATATATTAACATACTAGTAAAAGCATGTGAAACTGGAACTGCTCTCTGATTGGGCTACTTCTCTTCCAGACAACCAAATCCTTCAATCAGAGTTCTTCTGTGTCCAGTGAGGGGCGGGAACTGAAAGAAAACAAGGTCAAGTTTATGGCCACTCAACTTCTAGCAAAATTTGAAGACCGCACCGCAAGCTGCTCTGTTCGCAGACAGGTAAATACTACTTTGACTGAACATCAATGAAAGATTTGCATTGCATTTTCTTAAAAGAATAGTTCACCCAACAATGAAAACTCAGAATCAGAAGGAGCTTTATTCGCCAAGTGTGTGCAAACACACAAGGAATTTGTTTAGGTTTTTTTTTTAGGAGCTCTTGGTACAAACATACATACAGGTGCATCTCAATAAATTAGAATGTCGTGGAAAAGTTATTTTATTTCAGTAATTCAACTCAAATTGTGAAACTCGTGTATTAAATAAGTTCAATGCACACAGACTGAAGTAGTTTAAGTCTTTGGTTCTTTTAATTGTGATGGTTTTGGCTCACATTTAACAAAAACCCACCAATTCGCTATCTCAACAAATTAGAATACTTCATAAGACCAATACATTGACCTGACATTGAGAACAGAAGGAACATTTAAATAAGACTAAGGAAAATAATAATAATAATGTGGTATGCATTTGGATTTATGTACAGATTTGTGCATTATTTACTGTATATACAACTGTATAAATGTATTTACATAAAATTGTCATTGTTCACTCTCTCTTATATCATTTCACATTATTTCTGTTTTTCTTCAGTGGAACACAGAGTTATTTTTCAGAATGATCTTGCTGCTCTTTTCCATGTAATGAAAGTGAAGGCTGTAGAGCTCCAAAATGCAAAAACTGTCTGAAGCCATACAATAGATTTTTGTAACTGACTACATTTTTTTTTGTCATTTACAGAACATCTCTGTTGGTCCTGTAAAGTATCTTTCACAAACTTTGAAATATTTTACATCATGATGTGTTGTACAAGGTTTGACATCAAGATACGGGTCTGGGCAGTTTAAGGGATATTGGTTTCAAATTATATAAAAAATAATGAGAATTTAGGGGTTAACTATTCTTTTACATTTTGGCTTTGGAGAACCTCTTTACTTGGAGTGATCCGAGTATTTCTGTGCCTAGTTAATCTCTTCTTTCTCTTTTCTTCCATCTGTCCTTCTGACCCTGGCTTCCTTTTCTCTGAAACTGCTCCTGGTATAATGATTTCAGTCTGACTCTAATGATGAGAGGCGTCCAAAACCTCCATCGCTTGATATGACTGATAGCCCTCTCTTTAACATTGTCAAGAAGAAAGTCCCACCACCTCCACCCCCTAAAAATCAGGTAGAATGTACACCTACAAACAACTCTTTAAAAAAAAAAAAAAAAAAAAAAAAAAAAAGTACCATTTATCACCCGGTATTAGCTGTCACATAATCTATTATTAGATAATTTTTTGGTAATGTTCATCTTTTTAAACATTTTAAAACTCTACACTATTAAAAATAAAGGTTCTCTATGCACCTATGTTTCTGTGAAGAACATTTAACATCCATGGAAGCTTGGGGTTCTTTATAGTGGAAAAAGGTTTAGATTTTTTTTTATTTTTTTAGATGTTCTTTAAAATGTTTTCTAAAAACTGTTATCTTAAAGGTTTGGTTGCACTTTCATTTCCACTTTAGACATTCTACTAACTGTAAATAACTTTGCAACTACATGTCAACTAACTCTCATTAGAGCATTTGTAGACTGTTAGGTTAGGGTTAGTAGAATAAGTTGCCGTATTTGCAAAGTTACTGATAGTCAATAGATCGTCTGTTGAGCAACCATCAAAATAAAGTGTTAGTAGATATTAAGCAGACAGTCTACTAATACTCTAATGACTGTTAGTTGACATGTAGTTGCAAAGTTATTTATAGGTAGTTAAATGTCTAAAGTGGACTATCAAAATAAGGTGTTACCGAAGGTTCTTTGGGGAACCAAAAATTGTTATTCTGTTGCATTCCTGCGAAAACTCCTTTTTGGAACGTTAAAGGGATAGTTCACGATCAAATTATGTTGAGTGACCACTGGGATCACTTATTCATCATAGATGTTTTTTTATTTATGATTTTATTTGAGTCAGATCAGGTCCTTGGCACACCTTTGCCAAAGAAAACCAAAATTTTGAAAGCTCAGATAAAAGAATCTGAGCATCACCTTGAAGAT